CTGGTGTGTGGGGGTGTGGATCGCGCATTGCAGGTTTTCCTCTTTTGTTCGCAGGTGGTTGGGGGCTTGGAGTCTGGTTCAGTCTCCTTTGGTCTTTCAGCTTCCCCCCTTCCTTGTTGCTGTTGGTTTTGGCTGCTGGGCGGCTGTTTGGCACTTTGCTTTTGTTGTTCCTCTTGCTGTTTTTTTTTCTTCTTTTTTTTCTCTTTGTTCTTTTGTGGTGCACAGAGGAGGTCTGGTCCGCCTAGTGCACTTTGTTGGGTTGTCCCTTTACCCTGTCTAGTTGTGGTCGTTGGTCTAGGATCAGTGCTCGTGATCCTAGCTCCTTTCCTTTCCATGTACTTTATTTTTGTTTTATTAATTCAATTTTCACCCTTATCAAAAAAAAAAAAAATACGCGCCGCTGAGTTCAATCTTTGGATATGAAAGTGGTAATTAATTGCCCACTGCTAGTATAGATTTCCAGCTTTCCTTTTGTTTTCAATTTGATAATATGTGGCGGTGGCGGTGGATTCTGCAGCAGGTTTTGTGTACTTGGACCATGTCGGAGTGACTCTGTACTTCGAGCTACCGATGGAGCGAGATTTCAAGGATCTCACTGTTGACGGTTGGGAGTAGGTGGAGGTGGGAGAGTAAGGAGGGAAGCTCGAGGCGGGCTAGTGGGATCCAGAGCTAGGGGTCGAGGAGGTAGGAAGCTTAGGAAGCCGACTAGGGACTTTTACAGGAAGAGGGGTTGGGAATGTTCGTCTGGAACCCCGCACAAGAAATTTTAGGTTTTGTTTTTAGTTTTATTTTTTAATGGCTGGGATAATGAGGTGAAATATTTTAAAGATTAAAAATTAAATTTTCTTATTTTATTATTTTTAAATTGTAACGTTACTCATTTAACAGTCAATTATGAGGGTTGACTGTCACATCAGAATTCAGATAAAGTTAACGGAGTTGGACTGTGAGTGACCAAATTTGAACGATTGAACTAATCTTAGTGATAAAAAATATAATAAAATATTTTTAGTGGCAAACATGAAATAATTTGGCTAAATTACACGTTTGGTCACTCAAATTATACAAATCTTCATGTTTGCCACCCGAATTACTTTTTTTTTCTTATTCACCACTAACTTTACGAATTGTTTTACGTTAGTCACCAGCCGTTACACTCTGTTAAATTTGTCCTACGTGACAGTCAACTATAAAGTTTGACCGTTAACTAGATGACTTGAAAATTAAAAAAAATAAATTTATTTTTCCACCTCATCATTCCACTTACTTTTCCTATATGATTTATCAACGGAGAATTCGAAAGAAGAGGCAGTGGAGAAGAGCTCTGGATGGGAACCTGTAGAACCAGAAGCAGCACCGCTGGGAGGGACAGCCGCGCTATGATTTTCAGCGAAGAAACTCAATCCAATCCACAAAAATCAACTCAATCTCCGATTCGTCGAAGCTTTTATCAAACAGATAACAAGACCGATGAATTCCAACATGAAAGAAATTCAAGAACAAAATTAACACAGACTCGAGTGCCCTATTGGACTTTAATGCAAGATTTGTCGGAGATTATGCCATCACGACCGTGCATCAACTCTTTCAAGCCATTAATCTCGGTCTCTTCATAGACGTAGATCTAGACGGAGAGGACTGAACCGTAGCCAAGGTTAGCCCACGTCAGGTATCAGCTTATACATCCTATCCTAAACCCTACATCTCTCATCCAAATCACAGATCCTGTGGATCCTTCTAAGTTCTATCCAAACATATCTTAGAAAAAATTTAATCCAGTTCGAAGAAGGAAGAGAGAAAAATTTATTAACTTACCAGTGATATAACTTTGATGATGGTATAAGAGTCATATATGTGGAGAGATTGTCCGTCGAGAAGTAAGAGCAGAACGTCAACGAAGTCAAGCTCTTTTTTTTCGCTCCTCTGTTTTCCTTGTGTTCATCCAGCTATTGCTGAAGGTACCCATCTATTTCTCTCGACACCCTTTTCATCGCCTTCTCATGGTCGTCGATATCCATCCACCGCAGAAACGGAAGAGCGTCTTCGACGACAAATGTCCCACCATACCGGAAAAGCTCTCTCACATCTCTCATCCAAACATATCTTAGACCCTACATCTCTCATCCAAATCACAGATCCTGTGGATCCTTCTAAGTTATATCCAAACATATCTTAGAAAAAATTTCATCCAGTTCGAAGAAGGAAGAGAGAAAAATTTATTAACTTACCAGTGACATAACTTTGATGATGGTATAAGAGTCATATACGTGGAGAGATTGTCCGTCGAGAAGTAAGAGCAGAACGTCAACGAAGTCAAGCTCTTTTTTTTCGCTCCTCTGTTTTCCTTGTGTTCATCCAGCTATTGCTGAAGGTACCCATCTATTTCTCTCGACACCCTTTTCATCGCCTTCTCATGGTCGTCGATATCCATCCACCGCAAAAACGGAAGAGCGTCTTCGACGACAAATGTCCCACCGTACCGGAAAAGCTCTCTCACATCTCTCATCCAAACATATCTTAGACCCTACATCTCTCATCCAAATCACAGATCCTATGGATCCTTCTAAGTTCTATCCAAACATATCTTAGAAATAATTTAATCCAGTTCGAAGAAGGAAGAGAGAAAAATTTATTAACTTACCAGTGACATAACTTTGATGATGGTATCAGAGTCATATACGTGGAGAGATTGTCCGTCGAGAAGTAAGAGCAGAACGTCAACGAAATCAAGCTCTTTTTTTTCGCTCCTCTGTTTTCCTTGTGTTCATCCAACTATTGCTGAAGGTACCCATCCATTTCTCTCGACACCCTTTTCATCGCCTTCTCATGGTCGTCGATATCCATCCACCGCAGAAACGGAAGAGCGTCTTCGATGACAAATGTCCCACCGTACCGGAAAAGCTCTCTCACATAGTTCTTAAACCCCACGAGAGAAGCAGAATAAGAAACAAAGGAGCTCTTCCCCGCAACCAATTTCAGCATGAGATTGAGGATCAAATCCCCAATCCACTTCTTGAAATAAATTTTTGGATCACGCCCACTGTGTGTATACAGATCGTTGATCGATTTATGTACTTCAGATTCCCTAAAGTGTCATAGAATCTCCAGGCGGCAGCCACGACAGGTATCCGGTTTTAGAAATTCTGACGAGGCTCTTCCGGGAGCCGAACCCGAAGTCGCTGCCGCCGAAGTAAGTGGCGGCACAGGGAGAGAACGACTGGTGAAAGAGACAAGTGAGGAATAAGGTGAGGACGACGAGGAGAAGAACGTCGATATGGTGGTTACAAACAAGTGCACGAGCGGCGAGGAAAGAGGAGGCCATTCATTTTCTTAATTTAATTAGTTGTTATTAAATAATTAATATGATCATATAGAAAAAGTAAGTGGAATGATGAGTGGAAAAAATAAAATTAATTTTTTAAATTTCCACGTCATCTAGTTAACGGTCAAACTTTATAGTGGACTGTCACGCAGTACAAATTTAACCGAGTGTAACGGCCAGTGACTAACGGTGAAACAATTCGTAAAGTTAATGGTGAATAAAAAAGAAAAATAATTCGAGGGATCAACTTGAAAGATTTGTATAATTTGTGTGACCAAACGTGTCGAAATAATTTAGTAGATGTATCAAAATTGTATTTTACCTTATTTCCATTATTTACTTGTATTCCCATTATCTAATTGTAAATATATGTAACGTATGGTGTCAACCTAAGCAGGTTTATAAGATTGGTAGTTTATTGTATTAAATTTTCCGATCAATTTGTCACGATGAAAACTGTCTGAGTCAAATAACCTGCGGGCCCACTTAGCTGGGATTCCGTCGGACAACTTCCTTCGGGGCGCCCGGATCCTGCACCAACAAGCGCCTAATGGGCTTCGGATGCCCGTTAGCACTCCGATGCCTAAGTCAGTGGCAAATCTAGAGAGATAAGTGTCAAGTGAAATTTCTAGTGAGAGAAGCCAACCTGCTTAAATGCTACCTACCGAGTACTATTTATACTCGACGAGGTCCAGACCAGGCTCCTGGAATTCAGCTCCACGTCAGCCATCATTAAATGCTTGGTACGGCCCAACGGTCGGGCGCTTACACGTGGCGACTTCTGCCTAGGCGCTCGCAGGGACCACCTTGCCAGGTGGCGCATTCTCAGTTCACCGTTCTCCCTAGAAGCCTGGTCCCCGCCCTACTTTTGTCGCTATGCGCCTGGTCACCCTTCATTGGGCTCAGCCTGCCTTCTTCATCCCCTTCTCTCCATTCCGATGTGGGCTTGGGCTCCCCGTCAGTCTATGTCCCCCAATGGTCCGCCCACGTTCTCAAGCCTTAGTCGTCCACCCGGGCCTGCTCCTCCATGCTTACTTATGTGCTTGGGCCTGGGCGCCTTGTAGCCCAACACTTGCCCCCCAACAAAAACCATGTAAATTTGTATCTTATTTACGGGGTTAATTACATGGTTGGTCACTGACATTACAAAAAGCGTTCATGTTTGGTCACTCGAAATATTTAAATCCATTTTTGGTCACTAACTTTACAAAAACCGTTTATTTATGGTCACTCTCCGTTAGCTGCCGTCCAACGCCGTTAACGGCGTCCGTTAAGTGATGACGTGGCTGGCGGATTCGCCTAATCATCACCTTTTAACCCTAAAATTGACTGACCCGACCCGCCACGTCATTTAAACCCTCCATGTCAGCCAAACCTAACCAAACCAGACCAGACCCGACCCCTAAATAAAGAACTGAGCCGACCCACCAATTAATCTACCCAGCCTCCTCCGCGAGCACATCGTCCCTGGCCTATTCACCATGGACTACCTCCGCAAGCTCGCCTTCGGCACTAAGGTCGAGACTCTCACTCCCGGAAAATGCATCACCGTTACCTCGAGCTTCTCCAAGAATTTCACCGCCGGCGGAGGCGGAGAGATCTGGTTCGGTCCGAATCCGTTGCATAGACAGAGATCTGCTTCGGATGCTCGATTTGGAGGGGAGGAGTCGAGAAGATGATGTTGTCGACGCCTTCTCACCACCATCTCCTGTTTTCATCGTCATCTTCAAGAAAAGGCAACGGATACATCGTCCGGTCAAATTTTGGGAACAACCCGACGGCGAGGGTGGAAGGTTTCGATTGCCTCGACAAAGACAACAAGAATCGCAGCATCCCCGCCCTGCATAGACAGAGATCTTTCATATCATAACCCACTTCTCTTCACTCCTCTCTAGAAACTCGAAACTTTTGCTACGAATTAAGGTTAATCAATAGAATAGGAAACAACTCAAGTCATCAGCATTTGGTAGTAGCAACCAAGAGCAGAGCAGCAGCGAGCAGGGTTTTGGTTTATTTATGCTTCTCTTGAGAGCTAATACAAACCAATCCTTTTTTTATGATAGTGTTAGGGTATATATATATATATATATATATATATGGGGAGTTCTACGGTACCCAGGGTGAAATCCGGGGTACCGCATACCTTGAGTAAGAAAATGCTATCCAAAACTTTGAATTGACTGATCTTTCGGACATGATACTATACTTTAACCCTTAAAGATCAAAATCTAGGTCTTAATTTTCTAAATCTTATACCCCAAGATCAATTTAATTAGAAACAATAATCGACGGTTATGATTCATCCAAATATAGGCAAAAAAAAAAATGCACATCTTAGGGTTTATAGTTTATGATTTAGATAATTAGGACCTAGGGTTCACTCATTAAGGGTTAGGGTATAGTATCATATGCCAAAAAATCCTGCTAATTTGATGTCTTGGTAGCATTTTCATACTCATGGTATGCGGTACCCCGAATTTCACCCGGGGTACCGTAGAAGGCACCATATATATATATATATATCTTTACTATAATGGTCTGAATCCGTTGTTGCGGAGGCGGAGAATCGCGTCTCGCATCATCAATCGCATGACCACGGGCTGGACGAGCGGCGCAGAGATCTGGTTCGATCCGCCGGGAACGGGGACGCGATCTGGCTGCTGGAACGAGAACGTGAGCGAATTGAGACGCTCGACGTCACAGGAGAACGGGGAGAGAGGCGCGATGTAGCCTTGGATTCCGTGAATCACGAGGAATTCGTTGTTGAATAGATCTGGACGAGTGATCTCGACGCCGCCGATGAAGATCTTGGCTGCAGAGGGGGGACCGGCGGTGAAATTCTTGGAGAAGCTCGAGGTAACGGTGATGCATTTGCCGGGAGTGAGAGTCTCGACCTTAGTGCCGAAGGCGAGCTTGCGAAGGTAGTCCATGGTGAAGAGGCCGGGGACGATGTGCTCGCGGAGGAGGCTGGGTAGATTAATTGGTGGGTCGGGTTAGTTCTTTATTTAAGGGTCGGGTCTGGTCTGGTTTGGTTAGGTTTGGCTGACATGGAGGGTTTAAATGACGTGGCAGGTCGGGTCAGTCAATTTTCGGGTTAAAAGGTGATGATTAGGCGAATCCGTCAGCCACATCATCACTTAACGGACGCCGTTAACGGCGTTGGACGGCAGCTAACGGAGAGTGACCATAAATGAACGGTTTTTGTAAAGTTAGTGACCAAAAATGGATTTAAATATTTCGAGTGACCAAATATGAACGCTTTTTGTAATATCAGTGACCAACCATGTAATTAACCCCTTATTTACGCGAAAACACCCTGGATCCGAGTTTTGGAGAAAAAAACGAGCGCGCAAGTCTGATCAGAAAGAGACGAAGTAGAATTCAGTAAAACCCAGTAAACGGTACAAAAATACTACACGTTACATACTTCTTTCCATTTCAACCCCTAAACTTTCTACAACTACCCTTTAAGCCCCTCAAAAACCAAAAAGAAGATTCTATAGGGGCGAAAACCCTCGATGGCTCGATCTCCTTTCTTGTTCTCACTACACAGAGAGACCAATCCGGTCAATCCACGTCAGCATTCCTTCGGACCAGAGCAAAGTATCCAAGAACAGCGCAGACAGCGGCCACCGCGTTCCCTTCCTTCAACAAGATCTTAATCACGAACCCCAAAATCTCCCTCGTGATCTTCCTCCCTTCCACCACCAAAACCCTCCTCGGCTTCCCGAAGAACGCCAGAAGCACCACCACCGTAATCCATATCACCACCGTCGCCGGCACCGCTACCGCCAGCGCCGCCGCCATCGACATCACGCCGAACACCGCCCCCAGCAGCACCGACGCGTAGATGGCCGGCCAGCCCGACGACGACGCGATCTGGGACTGCTGCTGGTACCAGGAGAGGATCGATTGGAGGAGGTTCCACGAGGAGGACAGGAGGATGGAGTAGACGATGACGAAGAGGCAGACCCATGTCCGCCTTTTGCTCATGATTCGGAGCACGAGGCTGTAGGTGGACGATGCGGGCAGCTGATTTTGCTGTTGGATTGGAGCTGGAGCCTCTGTTTCTTCTTCTTGGTCCATTACAGGGAGTGGGTTTGTGGTGGATTTTGACTGTTCCAATTTGGGGGTTTTCTTTCCCTTGAATGGTATTTCGTTGAAGGGTTTTCTTTTTCCTTGTTTCGGGTTGAAGTTGGGAGACCTAGCTTTTACTTTTCTGTATTCAGTGGGTGGCTGCTGCTGTGTCTGAATTTGGGGGAAGGGGAAAGAGATGATTTTTTGGATTGACGACAATGGCAGTTGCAGAAAGGAGGAAGGAGGGGTTCAGGGGTGGAGATGGGAAGACTTGGGTTGAAGCGCGTGGGCTCCACTTGGTGAAGTTTGTGTGTTGTTTCTAGTGGGTAGTGGGTTGCACGCTCTGGAGGTGGTGGAGACTACATGGGAAATGGGAAAGGAGAGGACTTGTTTGATAATGGCCTAAGAAGCTGAGCAGAGCAAAGAGGATTAGAGGGCATAGGGGGATTTGGGTTGGGAAACTTTCAGAAGATTAGGTCAGTTTTTTGGGCTTGGAATTGAAGGGTTTGGGTTTGGGTTTGGGTTGGGATTGGGATGCTCTTTTTGTTGTTGTGGTTTTGGACCTAAAAGAAAAAGCAAAGTGGGGCTGAAATTAGGGGGCAAAATGGCAAATGGGTTCTTTTCTTATATAACTTTTGTGATTGTCGGATTGCAGGTTTGTTGCAATGGCAGGGTTCCTTGTTGGGTTACCCAAAGCCTTTCGCTTTACAACGGTGGAGGAATCTTGAAAGAGAGTTATTGGTTTGGTTAGGCCGCTTTTGGGCTTTCTTTTGTTTGCACTTTACTCTTCCTTCAGTACAGGCAATCTTGCCTCAGTGGTGAAAGTGTGGCAAAAAGAAAAGTGGCATGGCTGCATAAAAGAAATGAAATGAATCGCTTATAGTAGAAGGAATCACCCCTGCAAAAGTGTTGCACACATAACCAAGATTGGAAAGAATATGACATTCTCAACAAGTTCTCGGTCGCTTTTGATTGCGGTTTTGACATTATCAAGTCTAACTGCATATATTAATATGTATTACTTAACAATTTATTATCCATAGAGTGATTGTAAATTTGTCTTTGCACCATGTTGTAATTGTTTCAGAAAATCAAATATAACATTTCCCCCCTTATTATACAAAACTAGGTGAGTACTTAAATAACAGTGCATGGGTCAAGAAGTCTCTGACTAAATGCTCAAGGCTAACTTGTTAAAACTTTATTCTAACATGTAACTAGCTCAGAAATGGACAACTGTTTGAAACTTTGACTAGGTTTCCAGATTGTGCTTCCTTGACACATTAGGAGCTTCAAATTCATCTCTATTCACAAATGAAGAAAGACAGATACCTTATACATTACCTCCTGTCTTCTTTCCCCATTTTGAAAAGTAGCACGGCCAAGAAAAAGAAATGAAGCTTTAAGAACCCATTTCTGGGCAGCACATAAATGCCTCTAGAAATAGCAGCACCAAGCTAGCTGACCACAACAACATATCAACAGACAGGGAGTCCTAATGACCACAACTACCCTCGTACTGGCCCTCCTTTGGTGAGGACAACTTTTGATTGCAAGCGGTCCATCCTTTTGTATTGCAGCTAGCTACACGATTCTTTTAATGAATCGCTATTTGCCGCCCGCAGTTTTACTATTTGCCGCCCGTAGTTAGAAAAAAAAGACGATTTTGCCCCTAACCCTATCCCACCCTCAACCCATCTGCCCCCCTTCAACCCTCCCTCCTCCTGCCTCCCTCCCGCCGCCGCCGACCCTCCTCCTGCAGGCCCTCCCGCCGCCGCCGACTCCTCCCTCCTGCCAACCTCCTGTCGCCGACTCCTCCCTCCGCCGCTGCCGACTTCCTCGCTCGCTCTCGCCGCCGCCAACCTCCCAAGCTCGGCGGAGGGAATTTTTTTTTATTTTTTTCAGTCGCCGTCCGACTGGCCGGAGCGGACGCCGTCCGACTAGCCGGAGCGGACGCGGTCCGACTGGCCGGAGCGGACCCCGTCCGCCCGGTTTGATCGGACCCCGTCCGCCCGGTCTGGTCGGACCTCGTCCATTCGGTCTGGTCGGACCTCGTCCATTCGGTCTGGTCGGACCCCGTCCGCCCGGTCTGGTCGGACCGATCTGATTGGGTTTATGATTCGGTTTGAATGGTTCGGTTTAAATAAATATTTATTAGATTTATTTTAAATACAATTGTTAGTATCTTAATTAGTTTAATATTGATAGTTGAATAATTAGTATATAATTGTTAATTTGACCACAGTTGGTTAAGGGAATTAGGGTTTGACTTAATTAGGGTTTGACCCGAATTAGGGTTTGACTAAATTATATATTATTTGACCACAGTTGGTTGAGGGAATTAGGGTTTGACTTAATTAGGGTTTGACCCGAATTAGGGTTTGATCTGAATTAAGGTTTGATTTAATTAGGGTTTGGCCCGAATTAAGGTTTGATATAATTAGGGTTTGACTTAATTAGGGTTTGACCCGAATTAGGGTTTGACTAAATTATATATTATTTTGACCATAGTTGTTTGAGGGAATTAGGGTTTGACTTAATTAGGGTTTGATTCGAATTAGGGTTTGACTTAATTAGGGTTTGACCACAGTTGAAATAATCTCACCCAAGATGACAGATAACAACAATAAGAATCAACTCGACTCAATTGGACCAATAATGACAATAAAGAAGGAAAGCATCTCATCCACCTCCTATACCTTATACTCCTCTGAAACCCTAAACCCTCATTCCCCTTGAATAGCTACCTTCAACCTCGATCCATCCAATCCTACTAGGAAATTATTTTAGAGGCAAAATCATCTCTTCCTCCACTAACAATAATATTTCGTCTCGTGGAAATATATGTGATAGGCTCAAGAAACTCCTAGTTACCACCCCCAGAGCCCTAAAAACACCTCGATGAAAGTTTTGGCACTATTCATCTCTTTTTGTCGGGAATGTCCAATTGATAAACAATCGATTCCAACACATTTGTATCCACATTTTAAGAGATCGATGAAAGTTTTAATATTTTTTCATGTCGGTGACTCTAGTAATTGGTAAAAGATGTTTTTGTCCGACCTTCCCTGAGCCGCAAAGAGTCCTCTTCGTGCCTCGATTCCTTGGAAGTTTTATAAAACATAATTTAGGTACGATGATCTTATTAAATATGAAATAAATACAATTAAAAAGGTTTAATCAATATTTATAAATATTTTATAACTATTCTACATAATTAAAATGAATTATTCATAAGTTTATACAATATTTATGATAATTTATGATTAAATATCCATTCTCTTATACACTACTTCAGATCATTTGTAATTATTTAACATACTATAATTATTTAATTGCTATTATACTGAATTTATTTATTTTAGCTCTATTTACATAATTATAAAATAAGTATGAATTAGTTTGTACAATATTTTTTATAATTTTATTTTTTTTCTTATGAATAAATTTTAGTTTTTCTAATTCATAAATATAATTAATAAACATACATATAATTATTAGCATGATATAATATTAAAAAAAATAGAAGATTGAGTTAAATAATTAATATCATTTAGCGACGAATTTTGTGACGGTTTTGAAACCGTCGCTAATGCACGGTCCGCTCGCCGGCGTCGGACGGGGTCCTCCCGCCGGCGTCGGACGGGGTCCTCCCGCCGGCGTCGGACGGGGTCCTCCCGCCGGCGTCGGACGGGGTCCTCCCGCCGGCGTCGGACGGGGTCCTCCCGCCGGCGTCGGACGGGGTCCTCCCGCCGGCGTCGGACGGGGTCCTCCCGCCGGCGTCGGACGGGGTCCTCCCGCCGGCGTCGGACGGGGTCCTCCCGCCGGCGTCGGACGGGGCCTTTCCGCCGGCTGTGGTGATTTGGTTCTGGCGGTGGTGGCGATGTCGGCGATTTGGCGGCGGTGGTGGATTGGCGCCGGCGACAGTAGTGGTGGAATGGGGTTTGTTTTATAAAAAATGAACAAAGGGTAAAAATGTCATTTTAGTTTAATTTACGGGCGGCAAATAGTAAAGAGACGGGCGGCAAATAGTAACCCTCTTCTTTTATCACCAGTGGTGGCAACTGTGTACCCTTAATGCAGCAGAGGTCTCTGCTTTTCTCTGACATGTGTAATTCAAGAGCTTTTAACACCTTTGCCCCATTTCCCCTTTCTTTTGGTAGATTCCACATAAAGGTAATCTACTGCAGGATGGATTGGGCCATTCACTGTGTAGAGAAATAAGATTCAATACTGCTGTGCTGTTCTGTTTGAAAATTCAATACCGGCCCACAGGACAGAAGTAGCCTAGTTGAAAATTCGTCATGAAGACCAAGAAAACAGTGGATCAGAACCCAGCTACTTCGATCAGTCAAGATGAACTTTAACATCAAAACCATTATCATTTATCAATGAGAGACTGAACCACAGCTCTAATCTTGCCTTCAAATCTATCCCTCTCCCTGGGAGTGTAAACAGCAGTGTACGCGTGAGCACGGCCTTGATGTCCTTGGAGTTCAACCCGGCCACTGCAACCTGCTCGCTCGTTACCCTGTGAGCGATGCTGACACGAACCGCTTGGAGATGAATGCCTGTGTCCTCTGCTTGAAAGATATGTTCTTGTTCGGGTTCTTTGATACTTTGCCCTTCTGGAAAGTGTACGGCCTGCTGTTTCGTCGTCCACAAAATCCTCCACCCCAATTGTGTGCCTGTGGGTAATGATATGAAGCAAATTTTCAATGATAAGTCAAGGCAGAAAGTTGTCCATTTGCATACCATCCAGTGATTGATTGTGCCCAGAGCTCATGAGTTGATGGATGTGTTCAAATCCATTATTTGGTTCACCAAAAGAAGGGATTGATTGGAGCTTAATGAGCTTCAAAAATCAATAACGTGATGGATTTGTAAATCGTAGCTCACCCCCTAATCAGAAATTC